TCCCACAAGCGTCCCCTATCTATGCTGCCATGCTAAGGAAAAACGCCGTATGAACCCTCAGACGTTGCCGTATTTTGCCAAAGAAAAACCGAATTTACTGGGAAAATTGTGAATATTTCCCTTCGAATTTTTCGGACAATTTTGTTTAGAATTTAATCGAGAATATCTGAAAATTTCAAGGACAAATACGCATAACTTTCCTCAAAAATACGTGTTTTATCTAGAGAAATCAGGCAACTCACGAATGCTTATACGGCGTTCTTCCTTAGCACGGCAGTATGTCCCTACAAACGCTCTCTAACCTCTCCCACTCTCTTACCCCCTTTCCTCCCCATTCCCACTCTCTCATCGTCCTATTTTCAGCATATTTTGTCGTCCCTCTGACGAAAGGGCGTATCTCTATTTCCATGTGAGCCCTGATCTCCATATAACTCCATGCTTTTAGAAGCCCATGCGGAAATCGAGGTACGCCTTTACGTCATAGGAGCAACGATTTGAGGTCGTCCACAGGAGATGGGACCCTGGTCCTGCAGGCAAAATTTTCAGGAAAGGGAGTTTTGTCGAGTCGGTGGTCTGATTGTTGAAATTGATAGACAAAGCTATAGACAGAGAGGATTAAAGGGATATTGAGGGATCCTTTTGGTCGACGCAGGTGATCGCAATGGACAAAGAAGGTGGATAATAGACTAACTAACGGCATGCAACCCATGAAAGACCCGATAGTTTGTCCATCATTTTCTCCCTTACTCCATGAGAACCAACCATTTCAACGAATAGAATCGTCCCATAGTCCCTGTATTTTTTTTCTGTCGCTTTGTCTATAAATATCAACAGTCAGCCTGCTGAAGGGTGGATTCTCTCACCATTCATACATCTATTTTTTTTATTTAGTCATTTTTAATTCCTTTCATTATTGTTATCTAGAACGCAGATCTGTAGCCGAAACATTTTTAGAGATCTTGACTCCAATCTAGTACAGGCTATTTCATTAAGCAGTCAAAATTGTGCTGCTTGGCAAAATTGTTACTGCATCTTTTGAAGCTCCTCTAATTTTTTACTTTTAACTTAATTGTTGCGTTTAGAGTGGATTCATTCTTTTCAAATATCGAGTAACTAATTCGGTTACGCTACATCATTCCTCACTTTTTAGCATTTAACCACCAGTCTGTCATCAGATCTCCTCATGATCAGTTTAATCAATTAAATAATAAACTAAAAACACACTTGGCCATATAGATAAGATCTACTGAATATACTGAGATCCGTTTTAGGACTTCAACATCAACAAACATTTTTCCTATCTTTCTCTGGACATGTTGAATACATCCTTCCCCCATTTTTCTCCTTTTTTTGAGTTCCTGAATCGGTTTCTTTCTTCGACGCTGAGATGCCATTAAATTGTCAAATCTTGAAAAAATGAGCTCAATTCGTGCAAATTTGTTTTATTCCTTCCATGCAAATTTATTCTAAGTTCTAAAATACTTTTTATGCAAATTTTTTATATAATTTTTTACATATCTTTGCTATAGTTTTGTCCATCAATTTCAACAATCAGCCCGCAGCTCCTGAATAACTAAGATCATAATTAGGCATTAGATCTCTTTGAATGTTAGAGCAATGACAAAGAGCTCAGTGGTAGAATATAATTCCTATATATAGAGGTGCCTTAGCAACATCGGCAGTTAGAAATAATGCCAAAGGAAAAAATGCTTAAAATGTTAAAAAAATTGGAGTTTCATCAATTCCAAAACACTGAAAACGGAAGATTATGGAATGAATATTAGTGCCAGTACACGATATTCTATCGAGCTCTAAAGCAACTACATCCTGTAAGCACCAGGGATTTAAAGAATGAAGAACCGAATAAACAATAATTAAAAATACTTAATTTAATTCTTCCGAATACTTCTTCCAATGCTCGAGTTAAAGCTCCACTTTCACTGCAACACTACAAGCATCGATAAAAGCCAACCCGCTTATGTTATGCGAGGATAGTTAAAAGCCGAGTAGTAAGAATGAAAGGGGGAAGTGGAAACGCGTACGAGTTTAGTGAGAAAGAGGAGAAAGGCCGATAAGGCAAGAGGTTATCGGAAATCATGTATCATTCATTTGGGTATCACTTATTTTGACCCGCATTATTTCGTTATTTCATACCTGATTTATCAAAGTTGAGCGCCTCATTATCATTGCCTCCCCGCCACCGTGGATAGCTGCGATGTAGTACAACATGGACGGAGTCGAGTTACAAAAAATAAACTTGTCACTATCGGTTCAATGTACCAAAATAATCAGGAGGTTAAGCAAAGCAGAGACAAGCTCTGACCTTACTACTGATTAGATTCAGTGGCGAGGCGTGGATGATCGATTTTCGATATTTCTTCATTAAAAGCTATGGCAAAGAATCGATTATTAAGGTGCGAACACACCGTCTATCGATTATTTTTCACAGGTTTAAATGGTGAATACTTTCATCGTCGATTCTTTACCATAGCTTAAGTGGAAAAATATCGAAAATCGATCATTCATGCCTCGTCAATGGTTGCGGCTGTCAGCTTCTATCCAGAACACAATTTAAATGGGTATATACTTGCTTTCTTCCTGGATATTGAAGTGAGATGTTCCTCTGAACAAGAAATTTTTCACTCATTGCGTTTGTTAAAATTGTACTTTGCGTATGAATATAGCAAAATAACTGTGTTTTCTGCGTTCTCATTAACGGATCTTTTCAATCAGATCTTTCAGTGATCGTTTTGCGTTGGAGTTGTTTTCCTTATCTAGTAGGGGCTTTCTTACTTTTAAGCATCACAGCTCGTTCAGTTACTTCAGTGTTTCTTCTTACATTGTCATTACCTCAATTAAAATTATGTAACAAGGTGGTAAAATAGTACTGGGTCCAGACTATATTTTGCGGGGGAAACAAGGCCAAAATGTTAAAAAATCTCAATGAGAGTCAAAAATTTTAAGCCAAACTCAGCACTATTTTACCTTCTTGTTTCATAGAGTGTGGGCCACGTTTCTTAATCTTTTTTATTGCTTAAAATTATGCTCGACACCATTCCATTAACTAATTTTTCGTGGTAAATTTTTTTCTCGGCGAGTTCCAATGTGCTTCCTCGGCGAAAAGGAGAAACCCTCGGCGAAAAGGAGAAACCCTCGGCGTGGCGATCGGCATTTAACATATATTATCGGCTACAAGAATGCACGAATACTTCACGAATTGCATCAAACACAGTGCGGTCATTGCGGTCAGCGTGAAACGGATAGCGCCTACAAGAATGCATGCATACTTCACGCATTGCGGCAAACACAGTGCGATCAGCGTGAAACGCATAGCGCCTACAAGACTGCGTGAATACTACACGCATTGCGCCAAACACGGTGCGGTCTGCGCGGAGCGGTGGCGGAAATTAAAATCATTAATCCACATTTATGTTTGTTCTTTCATAATTTTTTCGTTCAATACTTATAAATAGAAGGCGTTGGCCACACAGAAATAGGTTTACGGAATCTGACTTTCGCGCAAAGTTCCGTGAACTTTTGCTTGTAGTGTTGCCAGGGCTTTCTCAAAAAAATGTGTTCAACACGAGTAAACGCGTCTTATGCACCCTTCCCCCGCTGGCACGTTCATTAGATGGTTTTTACTAATGTTTCAAAACGAATGAGAAGGGGGCGGCAAAATACAGGCGGCCCATGGGTAGCAAGAAGGTAAATCCGGCCCTGACGAAATTTATGAATACTTTCTCTTGAAATTTTCAGATGTTTTAGATTAAATTACGTGAAAAATGTAAAAATTTATACAAAAATATTCCCAATTTTTCCAGCGAATTCGATTTCTATCGAAGGAAATGTGGCAACGTCTGAAGGCTCATACGCCGTTCTTCCTTAACACGGCAGTAGGTATAACGTGTTTTCCTGAGACCAAGTCTCACCATTGATACGAGCATTTTCTCAAGATCTTATCTCGAGTCGATTCGACCCTTTACAAACGCACCAATTGATGGGAATTATTTTATTATTTTTATCTGCGCAGAAAATGACACGAGCGAGTAGGTGATGTGGGGAGGGGGAGCCGGCGCTACGAGTCCTGGGACCCACGTCGAAAGAATTATTATTATTTGCGTATGGAAAACAGATGGCTCTTGGCGGGGGATTTATCGTCGTAAGGGCTATTACAGCGTTACACCGCCGTTTGGAGCAAGAACAACGTTCCTCGATGGGAGTTGAGGATTTTTGCGCGTGCAGCGTTACGGCCGGTCAAATGTCACGCAGCCAGTCGGTTTCGAGTTACATCGGCTCCTCCCCTTGGTGCAGTGTTGCCGTTTTTCCTCCAGATAAAGTTCGCTTCATTTGCAATCCGTAATCCGTCTAAACGGATTTGTTTACGAAGCTGGAGAGCAAGGAAAGTTGGAGAAAGTAAGAGCTAGAATTTATACAAAGTACAAATAAAGACAGGGAAATGTTAGAGAAATTCCAGGATAAATGCGGATATGAGAGGAAAAACGAGGAAATGTCCGACACTTTCATGAAATAGATTGAACTCATGTATTGTATTTGATTTTTCTCAATCAACCGAGTGTGGTCTGGTCAGGGGGGCACTTCACCGGAAATTGTGAAGGAAAAATATGGAAATATGTCCCTGAATATAAGGAAATGTCTAGGAGTATTGACACCAGAAGTTTTTCTCCTCCGCAATTTTCAAACAGACAAGTCTGTCAAGAAGAGGAAGATAGAAAATTTGTAGATATTTTTAGAATATAAAAAATAATTAGAAAATTAATGTTTTTCTCTTCGTTGTCTTTTTTATCTTTATCTCCTTATCCTCTCTTTACATATTTTCTTCCTCCTCTTCCCCCCTTTCCTCTTCTCTCTCCTCTTCTTCTACTGTCTCTTCTTATTTTTCCTCTTCTATACCTCTTCCTTTTCTTCCCCTTCCTCCTTTTCCTCCTCATCATCTTCCTATTTTTCTCCTTCTTCTTCTTTTTCCTCTTCTTTCTTTTCTTCTCGTTTTTCTTCTTCTTTGTTGTCTTCTCGTTTTTCTTCTTTCTTTTCTTCTCGTTCTTCTTCTTCCTCTTCTTTTCCTCTTCTTCCTCTTCTTCCTCTTCTACCTCTTCTACCTCTTCTACCTTTTCTACCTCTTCTACCTCTTCTTCCTCTCCTTCCTCTTCCTCTTCTTCCTCTCCTTCGTCTTCTTCCTCTTCCTCTTCTTCCTCTCCTTCCTCTTCTTCTTCTTCTTCCTCTTCTTCTTCTTCTTCTTCTTCCTCTTCTTTATGTCAGTTCTCGTCTCCGTCTTCCGATTCCGAGTTAAATCGACACTTCCAAAAGATCCAAGTCCGTCGGACGAGGGCACGGCATATTATGCCCGACTCCATTCACCGATTCGTGGGTTTTGACCGCCAAAATCCGATTCTGCGACTCCCGCCGATGACCCGGACGGCAACATTGCCGATGGACGAACCCCCGCCCCCCGTGCACAGGGCTAGACGCGGCATGTGCCCGTTGACGTGATAAGGAGCGTGAAGATTTATTGGAGAGCCGATCCCTTTATTGATAACCACGACGACTGTGAACGCGCGTTTAGGAGTAGGTTTTTCTGTAGTTGACGAGGATTTAAAAGCTCTCGAGCGGGCCCGCAGATTAATCATAGCCGGGTCCTGTTCCTTGTTTCCCGTTGAATTCGCGAGATTTGTGGGTCTGGCAAGTACAGAGCTGAGTTCTGCCGTGCTAGGGAAAAACGCCGTATGAGCCTTCAGGCGTTGCCAAATTTCCGTGTTTAAAACACGACTTTCCCGGTAAACTTATGATAATTTTCCTTCAAATTTTTCGGATAATTTTGTTCGCAATTCCACCCGGAGTTCCTGAAAATCTCAGGATAAAATATTCACACATTTCCTCATGGAATAAACATTTTAGTGAAGTAAATGTGGCAACTCTTAATTGTTCATACGGCGTTCTTCCTTAGCTTGGCAGAGTTGGTCAGTGGACCGCGGGCGGGCGATGTTGGGGACAACCCTGCCAGACACTGACAGCCCAACGAATCCCCCCTCTTCCCTCCCAACTATGTTCCCCTCACGGGGAAAAGCGTAAGGTTCCTTCATTCATGGATTACACGCACGAAACTTAACCGTGGAGAAAGCCTTGAGTTTATTGGCGATGTTAAACACTTTTACTCTTGAAGATCATACGTTCGGAGAGTGGCGTGGCGTGCTTTCGCGATGTATCGATTTCCCCCTTGAGTTCTAAACTTATGCAGGTGGAATGCTCCGTTGGTATATATTTGTCTTCGCTTCGTGTATCAGAAATGCAAATCCACTTACATGTGATGAACCCAATGTTACTACCAAAATTCTGAAACTCTTCACCTCTCTTAATTTAAAAATCTAAATTTTCGTATATGCTCCCATTTTCAAAATTCTCTGCAGAGACGTTAATAGCCTGTGACGCTGAATGTCTTAAAATATACTAACTATCTAACCAAATACTTTGTATTTTTCTGATTCCAGGAAGTGAACGTATCAGTTGGGCCCTCACTCTAACGATAGTCTCGCTGGTTTCCGCAATATTAGGGGCCTTCGTGATGTTAGTTTTGCTCCATTGTAGAAGGTAAGCGACCATCTAATGTAGAAAATCAGTGAATCATTTTAACTGGTGGTGAAACTTCAGGCAACCCTTTTCAAATAGGGAGTCTTCAATTCAATTTTTTACAGGATAACGATTTTACAGATTTTTTTTTTAAATGATTGAGGAATTTGCGTCGTACTATGCAGAATATTTACTGAAATTTGAAAAGAAAATCCGCACAACCATCTGCAAGTAAAACAAGCAGGAAGCTCCAACGCATTCGCGTCGGAAAGCGGCTCTGGCGACGGTAGTTGTTACGCGTTTACGGTTTCCTTGGTAACCTTTGTTTGCTATCAGCTGATGTCGAGTAGTATGACTAGGAAGCTCCGACCACGGCATTCTTCGAAAAAAGCGCGAAAACTTATGGATTTGAATTTTCAAATTTTAAACGTAAAGTACATTTTTTCCAGTGCGAGATTAAAGCACAGACCCGTTTTGAATTATTGACAGTATCACCATGATTCCAAAAATACACTACACAACATAGCATTCGCTCACAGGAAAAAGATATCAATTAAAATAAAATCAGTCCCCCCTAAACAGCAGAAAATGGCGCCGATTCCCATCAACCAAAGCGCGGTCTCTCCAATGTAACATGGTCCAATGATACTCCCCAGCTGGGACCGTCCGGAATAGCAGCTCTAGTGCAAGCACCAGAGCCGCTAAAATTAAGTTGCCCGATTAAAGACAATAGCCGGTGTGGCTTGGTTCCTTTCTGTTTAACGCGGTCCATTTGTAACTATTCGCCCTCCAATTTTCCAAACAATTTCGTCCGTAATTAATTTGATCCAAATAATGTCTGAAAGTTCCAAGGCAAAATATCTGTAAATCTCTGTAAAATAATTATTTTCGGAGAGGAAATGTGGCGACATTTGAATGCTCTTACGACGTTCTTCTGTGCGAGGGCGGTTGGCGCACAGTGGATCGAGTCAATCAGAGAGTTCGGACATGAATTTTTCGACTAAAACTGCAAATGTTGTTGTTTATTTCGTCTAATTTTAAATTTCAAGGGGTGGTTTTGGAAGGAAATTTCATGAGGGAACCAACAAAACCACTTTTAGAACCTCAAACTTTTGTATTAACGGAGTTAAAAGCGCTTAAAGTTTCCAAATTTTGTCCGACCTCTCCCATTGACTCGATCCACTGTGAATATGGGCCTTACAGTCAGCCACATTGGAGTTGCGGTCCCTGTAGCTCGAAAAAAATCCAGACTTTTAGTTTGTCCTTTGCATCAAACTGTGCAGAACTGCAGATACGAAATCCGGCCTCGTTTTTTAATTTGTCTCCCGAATCTAAACGGCACACAGTGGATCGAGTCAATTAGAGAGGTCGGACATGACATTTTTGAATAAAACTGCACATTTTGATGTTTACTTCGTCGCATTTGAAATTTCAAGGGGTGGTTTCAGAAGGAAATTTCATGAGGGAGCCTATGGAACTACTTTCAGAACCTCAAACTTTAGTATAAACGGAGTTATAAGCGTTTAAAGTTTCCAAATTTTGTCCGACCTCTCCTATTGACTCGATCCACTGTGCGGCATTTTTCCCGTGAGGGCGGTTGGCGGCGGTGGTGGCGCGCTCAACAAGTATTTTAGATGACGAATGGGCCGCGTGTGTCACCGGGACGCGTCGCGCATGTTCTGTCAAGTGCCCGATAAATTCGAACTGTCACCGGCCGCGCGCCACGCCAAGCCGACGCTCGACGTGACGTCACGAACAGGGACGAGCGTTCGTCTCCCCCAGCGTGCGGCGGCTCCCTGGCGAGCTCGAGAAATTTAATTAAAAGTCTCGCGTGTTTCTGTCACGAGGCTAGGAGAACGCGGCGTTCATTCGAGATGGTTCAAAGGTTTAGAAAATCTGTTGCGGTCTGCGAAAAGGTAGAGTCCCTTTATACCCATAGTTACGACATCTCACTCTTGGTTGGGCTGAAAATGACCTTAAAAAATCCAATTCTGATTGGTTCTCGCTCGTGGAGTCACGACGGGCTGAAAATGATCGAGGATAATCTTAAGATTAAACATCGGATCCAACCCAATGCACCATATTTCTATTCTAAAAAAAAAATTGAAATTTTTTTGTTGAGCTCATTTCGAGTAGAACGATTCAATTGAAACCAGCCCAGGTCCCAAGGCATCCCCGCGTAGCGCTCACGTGATACTCACGTCTGATTTCACGCACAATTTTAATTCTTGGACCAAGGAATAATGTGGTGCCTGTTATTCTGTTTCCAGTAACAATGCTGTATCGTATCGGTGCCATGAAAATTTTTACCACAGAAGTTACCTGGCAATTTGACTCTATTTTGCAAGTGGGATCTACAATTTATGAGTCATCCACAAAAGCACCTATCTGCATAGAGAAACTAATGGCTCGTACGTTGTTTCTGAAATGAGGCAGAATTATTAGTTCCTTATTGCAAAGTGTAGTCCAGTTCACTATCAGACTAAAAATCTAGGCTAAAAGCCTGACGATTCCTCTTTCTCCATTCTCCGAAAAAATGATTCCTGCTTAAAGCTCCTTCATTTTCACATGAGACTCTACGCTTGACCCCTAAGTTGGTTTAGTTGCCCAACCTAGAATCAACTAGACTCCATATAGCACCGCTTGACGCAGTAGTCGATTAAATATTTTTACCGAAATTGTATTTTAACTGCATTAAACAGAAAGAAATCAGGTCAAAGTTTGAAGGGAAAGATGTTTTTGTGCTCAGCTAGCCGCACATTCGCAAGTCAAAAATTCAAAGTCTGGATGAAGAACAATTAGAATGTAAAATAAGCGTTTAACTTCATCTCAAGCTTAGAGTCATATGAAGGAATATAACTTCAAACCCCTCTTTTTCGATCTGTTTATACTCGGTTCATTTCACCATTTCTTTGAAGGAGGAAACGTGGTTATGCATAATTTTTCTTGCTGGTCATTGGAGTGTGGAGTTTTTTGCTGGCTTTCAATTTGTAACATTCTTCTTTTATGATTATGTTTTTGATCCATGATAGTTGTTCTTTATTTTTTTTTGGTTTTCTTGTCTGTTTCAGAAATGTTAATGACTGCGATAGCTCACACAGTAAGTTTTATTTTAGAACTTTCCTCTTTTTATTTTAACAGCATTCAGATACTGCGACTGAAAATACTGAAAACGTTACAACACTTTTCCCCCCTTTTTCTATTACTTCTCTAGCAAAACCCATATAAAATATATTTTCACCGGGTTACGTCTTACCCTCATGAGTCATGAGCCGAATAATTGTCGCTCGTAAGGTAGGTATACAAAACCGTCATGACCTCGGCGAAAACAGATCAAAGTGCGGTATCCATAGGCAAATTTTTGATCTCGGACAAAAAAAATATTTCAACATTCAATCCATTATTTGGGGATCTGTCAATCTGTCAGACTGGGGTCAGTGGTTCTAAAGGTGTGAGATTCTGAATAAAAAGAAGGAGGTAAAAGTAACCATGCTTAACTTTTAAAGCCATGTTCGAGTTTTCTGTATTTAGTGTTTCTCATATTTCAAGATGAAATCCATTAGTTAGGGGGCTCTGTTAGACTGGGGTCACTGGTTCTACATAGTCGTGTGAGGTACTGAATAAATAGAAGGAAGTAGATAATCAGACGATAATTGTGTTGACTTTCAGATCTGTATTTGAAGATTTCTCTTGAAACGACATTGCATTGGGTTGTACTCAGTGGCGAATCTGGAAGTTGCCAGCACTGTTTTGTCTCCATTTAAACCCATCAAAAAGATCGATTTCGGGCGAGGCAAGCTGCCTGGACAAGAATCGATTGTTCTGCATACAATTAAATGGAGGAAACTATCGAGAATCGCCACTGGTTGCGTTGCGAGCGAACTGGCGCGCGCTGAGTCGGTAGCCGTGGAGTTATCGCCGGGAGTGGGGCGATCACAGGTAGATGCTCGGGGTGAAGAGGTTGCGGGGTCTGCAGCCGAAATTGTCGCGGAGGATGACTCCGTAGGGGTTGATGTTGTTCTTCTGAAGCTCGGACAGGACGAAGGCCTTCTGGTCCGCGTTGAGTCTGGCGTCCTGGGACAGGACGATGACAGTCGGGTAGTTGTCCACTGCAACAGAAAGTCACCATTATTCACCGATTTGCTGGCCAGCGACGCACAGTGGATCGAGGCAACAGGAGAGCTCGGACGAAATTTGGAAACTTTAGAAGCTCAAAACTCCGTTTATACAGAACTAGGAGGGGGCACTGCGGTCTGCCCCCTGGCCGCTACGCGGCCCAACCCTCTTGGCGCTGAGCGCCCCCAATAATCTTAAGGTGATTCGATGGACGCCATATTTTGTGTCAGAACGGCATGCGATATATCGCATCAATTGGTTCCATTTTTTCAGCTACTCGTCATTTTTCTCCAATTTCGAGATCGCAATTCTGTTGTCAGGAGACTAAAGCGCTCACTTACCAATTTTCACAAAGAAATTCAACGTAATAAATGCGTGGTTTTTTTAGAGAGAAAATATCGCATTCGACACTGATATCGAAACTGCACTCGAATGCGATATTTTCTCTCTAAAGAAACCACGCCTTTATTACGTTGAATTTCTTTGTTAAAATTGGTAAGTGAGTGCTTTAGTCTCCTGACAACATGCTTTAGTCTCCTGACAACAGAATTGCGATCTCAAAATTGGAGAAAAATGACGCGTAGCTGAAAAAATGGAATTGATGCGATATATCGCATGCCGTTCTGATACAAAATATGGCGTCCATCGAATCACCTCACTGACTTTCTCCTCACTCTGGATTTTGATTCCTTTTTTCGGAGTCGACCTTGACAGGGCCACATATTGCTGTTCATGACTAAACAAAGGCCATTGAAAGTAAGGATCCACTCTATAAAAACTCTGACCTTTGAACTCCCCATCCTCCCTCCTGCTCATCGACCGTCTTACCCCCCTCCCTCACCCCGTTCATCGAGCGTCTTAAAAATGATTTTATCATAGTAGAGAGGATTTTGAGGTTCTAAAAGTTGTTCATTGGTTCCCTCGTGAAATTTCTTCTATAAGCACCGGCACCCCTTTAAATTTAAAATGTGGCGAAGTATAATTTTTAATTTGCAGTCTTAGTGAAAAAAAGGCACGCTCAACCTCACTAATTGACTCGATCCTCTGTGCTACGTTGACAACGCTTGAGTGCAACTGGACCGCGTTAAACAGAAAGGAACCAAGCCACATCAGCTGTTGCCAAATTTAACAGGGAAATTTCATTTTTTACGAAAGAACGTCTGCGCAGATTCCTTTGAAAATTTTAAGGAATTTGCCTTGTATTATGGAGAAAATTCACTAAAATTTGCACAAAAATCCGCACAACCGTTTTCGTGTACAAAATTAAAATGCCCGATTAAATTTGGCAATAGCTAATGTGGCTTGGTTCCTTTCTGTTTAACGGGGTCCAACTATTCGTCGCATATACGATGAATGGGTCAGTTGCGCTGGTCACAGAATCGTGTTTTCGTGCTGGTATCATGCAGATCAGCTAAAAATAATAAGATCTATTCAAAGAGCAACTCTCTACGTTCAATATTGACTCGCTCTTTGGAAAGTCGGGTTTCTGACGTCATCCACCGCGGTAATGACACCCTTGGTTTCACCCACCTTGCTTTCATCAGTCGGTGTGACGCACATTAGCACTAGTTACTCAACGTGAAATTCGGATTAAATCAAGGTGGAAGAAACCACGGGTGTCACTGCCGCGGTGGATGACGTCATAAGCCGAATTTTTCAAAGCTTGATATCTCGCTTAATATTGAGCGTAGAGAGTTGCTGTTTGGATAGACCTTTTTCTTTTAGTTAATCTACAAGAATCAATAATCGAAACACGATTCTATGACCAGCGCTACTGACCCACTAAATGCGCTAAGCTTAAATGCAACTTTTCGTGCTTGGGAATCATCATCAGTCATCCAATACTCTCGGAGATCGTTCGGGCGAATTTAAATCGTCGTTCACTGAAAAAAAATTCTCGGCGTTTTTACCAAGGTCCGTTGGTACCTTTACCATCTCACTTTTTTTACCGATTATTGGTAATTTTACCAAGACAGACTGGTAAGCTTACCAAAAAACCGGTATTTTTACTGGTTTTTTTTCACTTTTATTGGTAATTGACTCTCGGTAACTTTGCCATTTTATCTCGGTAATTCTACCACAGTCGATAAAAAATATTGGCGTTTTTACCGGGGTCCAGTAAAATTACCGAGAAAGTTCAATAATTTTACCGAGATTTCTCGGTAAAATTACCATTTCCATAAATGGTGATTTTACCAAGAGAAAACTGGGATCAAATAGAACCCTGAATTCTTGGTAATTTTACCCTTTTCTTAGTAAATACACCGAGATTTTTTTTTTTCAGTGTTCCTTTGACGTAAGTGCGTACCTCAATCTCGGTACGAGCCCCGGAAAGCATGGAGTTATATGGGCATTAGGTGTCATCTGTAAAATCAGTTACGCTCTTACGACAGAGGAGCCTCCAAATCATTAAAAAATAGAAGCACTGATCCTCTAAATTTCAATAATCATATTTTCTTGATGAAAAAATAGACTGTTGTCTATACCTCTGACACCTCTGTGCCTATAGCATCTCTAATCGTGAAATGTCATTAATGTGACTAATTTTAAACAGTTACTAGAATTGGAGAAGGATTATTTCTCTCGCCCTTGATAACGAGATACGGCGTGGTTAAAAAAAAAAAAAAAAACTACACAGAAAGATTTAGAGACATAAGTATTTTACCGTAGTTCAGGTACTGGAAGTTGTTGCAGACAATCAAGATAAGGATGTTTCTCCTCGGGCAGAAAGACAGAATACCAACAGAGTAGGAAAGATCTGTGGATAAAAAAAGTAAGTTTGAAATGGCAAAGTTGTACACGTATCGTCATATCAGGTGAATTGTTCTTAAACAGAGCCTCTAAGTAGAAGATCCCCAAGAAATCAAAAGACTAACATTCCGAGAATGGCAATGAAGCGTAAAAGCTGTAGAACAGCATTAAATATAAAGTAGGACTCTGATTACCGCAAACATAAGTGACCTTTGTTTTTAGAAATCAACTCCCCAAAATTAAGAGTAGAGAATTAGAGTCTATATGACCCATTTATTTTTCCCTTTGCGCGTCCGTCCCGGGCAGCCAAGGGGCTGTGTGCCCCCTGGATCCCCGATCACTCGCTACGCGAGTGAAGGAATGCGTAATAGGTTTGTATCTGTATAATCATCTAGATACCTGATCAAAGGAACTGATTGCACTCATGCTGTTTCTAAAATGGGTCTTAATTAGTACAAGTAACAGTGAGTACTTACCGTCTACGTAGGAATCGTATTTGAAGAAGTTCGGGTCCATAACTTCCCTGTATGAGAAGAAGGTCCTGTCTGTAATAAAAAGCGTGTCGGATTATTATCCACCATTCTAGCATGTAAATAATGCTAGTTTACTATCGATGTTGTCATTATAGGAGCAAGCAGTTTAAAATTATAGCTCTACAAACTTACTCACCAAATTGCTGAACGCAATGCAATATTCATTATACTCACCAACTTACCAAATCAACCCGGATAAAGGTAGTGGCAAATTTAGGTCTGAACTTTAGCTATGTGGAGTCCCTGAGCGATGCTTCCATTAGTTTTGATGTGAAAATGGATAAAATTCTTATTTTAGTAATATCAGGACAAATACTTTACTCATGACATGGTTAAGAATAAAAAATTTAAAAATCAAAATTTTCGTGAAAATGTTTTGTTTGACCAAGAAGAACGCTTCTTCCAGATTTTCAATGTATTCTAAGATGCCTGTGTTTGTGACCTTTCATGCAAAAAGGGATCTCACAATCAGTCTAGAAAAATCATGATCGATTCATCGATACAAGATAGTAGAGAATCTGCTCTAAAATCAAGTTGGCACCCGGAACGTCCTAAAAACGTCAAATCGAACCGGAATTAGAACGGTTTAAATTTTTAAAAATGTGATTTTGAAAAAATGTTTTTTGAAATTCTACTATGCCCATTTTCAGACAACTATTCCATTTTAAGTCTTCTACCGGCATTAAATGAACGGCATTGCATGCGTCAATTTGTTTTGCATAATTTTTCCGGTAAAATTCACGTACCGAGATTTTCCTTGGAGAAGCATCTGTAGACTGGGAAGTCAACACCATTGTATGCTCTGCTGAACAAGCTCTCAACGTAGTCATAGCGCTCGAAGCTGTAACAAAACAGATTTTAAGAAAAATGTCTTTAATTATTAATGATAATAATCTCCTGTCATTACAGTCTCACTTGCAACGGTATCTAGTCGTATATGTATTTACTACTAATGGTCCACGCAGTCCCATTTTCAAAATCCTCTGTAAAGACGTTAATAGCCTGTGTCGCTGAATGTCTCAAAATTTACTAACTAACGATCTAACTTCTTGTCATCACTAATGCCCTCAATAATTTATGAAGTGTGGCACAAATGTGTGTAATTTTGAAGGGGAAGAGAGAAAATGGAGCGATCGTATTGGTTGCAATGACATGAGATAACGGTAAGGAACCACTATTTCTGGCCCATTTTAGAAGCAACATACTTGCCATTGGTTTCCCTATGTAGATATGAGCTATTATCGGAGAGCCAGAGATAGTGGTTCCTTACTGCAAAATGTAATCCAGTTAGTCCATCATTTCCCGCCTCTGTCTATAACAACCGTCTGTGCCAACCAAGAGTATGGCTACATTTTCCTCTTCGTCTTTTTTGTCTATCACTTTGTCTATCAATTCAATAATCAGTCCGCAAGAGGGACACAATTAGAGGTGTCGTGAGCTAGGTTGACGAGTGTTTACTTTCGGTTTGCAAGCGCCAACGACGAATGTGGGCCTCTGCACAAAGCGGCGTTCGCTACTACCCACCTTGAAAACATCCGCCTCATGATCGCATCGTAAAAAAACGACTTATCAGTTACGATTTGCGACTTTTATGTTGTTGTGATTTCTGTGTGGCTAAGAATTAAAGTGTTACAAGGTTTGAAAGTATTAATAAACTTATCTAAGCTTGTGTTCCTGCTTCTGCGCGAGTGTGATGTTTTCATGTGGATAGTAGTGACGCGAAAACGCTTGCAAACCGAAAGTAAACAACTGTCAACTTATCTGACGACACCTCTAAGAATCTAATACCTTCGGACTTACCGAGTATTTTTCCTGAAGTATAAATATTTGCGTTTACGAAATTCCGAGGCGTTTTTTAGTTGAAATTCATTTTGCAATTAGGAGCTACTATTTCTTGCTAATCGGTAAAAGCCTCTATCTATACAGGGATGTAACGGCACGTATGTTTTTTTCGAAATAAATCAGAAACGGTAGCTCCTCATTGCAGAATGTATTCCAGTGGTCGAATGAAAACTAGAAGATGGTAGGAAATTAAGCGACGACTTTTGGTGCAGTTGAGCTGATTCTGGTCGATGCCTCTGATGTCGTTCCACTAACGTAAGGACGTATCTCAATTTTCACGTGAACTCTGTGCTACATATGGACTGCATTTTGCAATTTGGAACTATAAATTCTGGCTCTTCTGAAAAAACACTTATGTGCATACGGAAACTGATGGCACTTACGTTGTTTTTAAACCGGGCTAGATTTCATAATTCCAAATTGCAAAATGTAGTCCATATGTTTCTATGCTTCTCGATGCTCATGTAGAAATAGAGATTCGCCCCTGCGTCTGAGGAGCGACGATGATTCTGCCATGCTAAGGAAAAACGCCGTATGAGCATTCGACGGTTGCCAAATTTCCTCTCAGAAAGTAGCTATGTCAGAGGCAATAAATGAATATTTTTCTTTGAAATTTTCGCACTATTAATATCAAATTACGAGAGAAATTTCTTTGAAAAATCGGATGAAAAATACTTATACATATTCCGAAAAATTCGAGATTTGTCGAAGGAAATTTGGCAACGCCTAAAGGCTCATGCGGCGTTTTTTTCTTAGCACAGCAGAATTCGATCGGCATGATTTCAAAAATTTAAGGCAATCGATGGGCAAATGGAGGAAAAAACTTTCTGAACAGTGGAATAGTTCGATAGAAATTAGGGTTTTCTTACCGAGAATTCCATGAGGATTGCACTAAGATCCAGCCGTCGATTCCCCCTGTGGTCCACCTGTTGCTTGGGAGGAAACTAACGAACGAGCATGATCCACAATGGGGGACACCGCAAGCTGTAGGAAAAGAAGTGTCCAATCGTAATGAGAATGATAACTATAATACCATCTTCCAAATCAAAAAGAACGCAACGTAAAACACCTAAAAATGTACCTGTGGAATTTTTGTTCAGTTTTTTTTTTTTTTTTTATTTTGCATGAAATCAGATGAAAAATCAGTGAAATTTTCAGTTAAATACGCCCAAAATTCCACAGTTAAAATGGTAATATGCAACGGGAAATTCAGCATTTGTCTCTTACTGGTACACCTAAGAATTGTGACATTTTAGGTGTACCAATGAGAGACAGATGCTGAATTTCCCATTGCAAATTGTCTTTTCAACTATGGAATTTTGGGCATATCTAACTGAAAATTCCACTGATTTTCATCTGATGTCATGCAAGTATAAAAAAAATTGAACAAAAATTCCTCGGGTACATTTTTGCAAAAAATCCAATTGTTTAAACCAATTTTGCAAACTTGGATTTGAGTTACGATCCTTAGTCCAGGGAACGACGAAATATTTCCATCAGCGGGTCCAGCAATTTGGCAACATTGTTTTTCCCTATTTAAACCTATGGAAATGTATCGATTCTTGTAGAGCCAGGTGGTCCGATAAGAATCGATTATATAACATATAGGTTTAGATGGAGGAAATTCGGTGTTGCCAAATTTCTGGCTCCGCCTCAGAATATTTCCCGTTCCACTCGTATGATTAGGAAATGCTGTTTCATTTTGGCCATTTCTTTGAACCAAAAGAATTCCCCCTAGCATTTCCACGGTTTGAACAAAATTTACGGCTTCAACAACTTAAACAGAAAAGAAATCACAGGGTCCAATTTATGATGTAAGATCGCACAACTTGGTAAGTGTGATTTATCCCTGTTAAAAAGGGGCGCATTTTCGTTGTTGATCGGTCGAACACAAGCGTCGCGGTCGAGGATAATCGGGTTGAGAACGCTTTAAGGTTAGACTTTCGGAATCGGTCTTGTGGTTGGATGCCAATATCCACTTCAGGCTATTTCCAAATCCTACTTTTTTCAGGATTTACTTTAGGCTCCAACGTTCCCAAGAATAGGTCACTAAACCATTAACGAATTTTGACTTGCGAATACCGTTTTCTGGACGCATAAGCACTGGATTCCCTCCATTTAAACTCAACGAAATGTGTCAATTCTTGGAGGGGCCAGGTGCACCGACAAGAATCGATTATTTAGCACAGGTTTAAACGGTGTAAATTCGGTGTTGCCTAATTTCTGGATGCGCCTCTGCCGTCTGTTTGTCCGGTGGGTCCCGATGTGGTCCCAAAAAATGCGATCGCGTCAAATAAGAATACAAAATCTTATGAGAAATTCATGAAAATTAAGAAAATTTATGATGCAAAAAATTTTAAAGTGAAATTAAAAGAATATCTTATTAACGGTGAGTACTATGAAATTAATGCGTACACTCAGGATCGAATCTTACTTTGACCTACTACTATACGTGATTTCATTATTTCCCCTACTCGATAAATGTATTAAAATATGAATGTAAAACTTGACATACTTGTATCAGCCTTTCTGTGCAGAAACAAACAAACAAATAAACGAAAAAATAAAACACTAAGAAGTGGCCCGAACTGTATGTAACAAGGTGGAGAAACGGTGCTGGGTCCACACCATTTCGCGGGGAAAACAAAGTCAAGAAATTCCAAAAATGAAAATTAGAGTCAAAATTAAATTTTTCAACTCTAGTGCGTACCAATACAAAACTGAGGGGGCATTGCGCATTAGAGTTCAAAAAATTTAATTTTGACTCTAATTTTCATTTTTGGAATTTCTTGGCTTTGTTTTCCCCGCGAAATGGTGGGGACCCAGCACCGTTTCTCCGAATTGTCACAAACAAACAAACAAGCAAATAAATGTTAAAGAAAAAAATCCACCCATTTTTGCTCGACCGATCAACGACAAAAAAATACGCTTAAAACCGGTTTTTAAAAAATGGAATGAACTTAAACGTACTGAACCAAGCATCGCACATTTCGTATTCGGTTTGCCATCCGAAGACGGATCCACTGAAGGTTGAGGCGGCAACGATCCATTCTCTACCCATCTAGATGAACAAAAAATCACATCTCAGCATGTAAACGAACTGCACAAGCTGCAGAAAATGAGTCCCTTGAAATCGGTCTCTGGTGTCTCCTCTTTCTCTCTCAAGTTCAGTGCTCCTTCAATTTCTAGTACAGGCAACACGAGCTCCCACGTGGTCGAATAGTTGTATCATCGTGGAATGGCATATACTACTCGGAACATCCACAAATGGACCGAGTTTATCAGAAAGGAACCAACCCACATTTTCGAAAAAATCGAGTTAAGAATGACTAGTTGTATATTTTCTCCCGCCAAAAACTCGAAAGTCGAAAAAAAATTGTTTTGTGAAAGGAGAGGCTAAAGTCTATTTCTTACGTTGAGTTTTATGGAGGGCCAAACCTTCAAACCTCTTTTTTTTAGTTTTAACTTAAAGTGGATTGGTTCCTTTCTGTCAAACTATCGATCCAAATAAGAGCTCCTGCCAAACGGGTAGAATTTACCTTAACGTCATGTCCGGTTTACCAGTATTCGTATACCGCACGTATAGATTTACAACACCTACCATTTTCCAAAAAGGAATAAGGAGGGTCTCAGATGAAGAAAAGCGAAAAGAGAAAGAATAGGACCGAGAGAATAAAATATTTCTTGTAAGTCGTATTTTCTTCGTACATTTTTTAGCTCGTGTTCTTTCCACTCCTCTTCTTTTTCATTCTCTTTTCCTTCTCCTTCTCATTTTTTCCTCTTCTTTATTTATCTTGAATATAACACCTGTCCTTGAGAATGCACTGTCAAACATTTAGAAGTGAAATTCAATGCCGGAATCTATGTAGCGCCCATAACCGCGAGTAATATGAATGCGGAGCGGAAACTATTCTCCTTACGGATTGACTTACACCATTACGGAGCGGAATCTACTCTTTGGCGGAGTGTCATGCGCACTGAAAAAATATTCTCGGCGTTTTACCAAGGTCCGTTGGTACTTTTACCATCTCACTTTTTTTTTTTACTAATTATCGGTAATTTTACCAAGGCAGACTGGTAAGCCTACCTAAAAACTAGTATTTTTACTGTTTTTTCAGGTAAGAATACCACTTTTATTGGTAATCAATTCCCGGTAACTTTGCCATTTTATCTTGGTAATTCTACCACAGTCGATAAAAAATATTGGCGTTTTTATCAAGGTCCAGTAAAATTACCGAGATAGCTCAATGGATTTACCGAAATTTCTCGGTAAAATTACCGATTCCATAAATGGTAATTTTACCAAGAAAAAAACTGGGATCAAATAGAACCCTGAATTCTTGGTAGTTTTACCCTTTTCTTAGTAAATGCAACGAGATTTTTTTTCAGTGCGCGTACTGATTTCACTTCGCATTCATATCACTCGGGGTTTTCGGCGCTTTAAACTCCGGCACCGTATTTCTTGCTCGATCTCTAACACTGTAATCGAAAATGAGAAAGACTTAATCCGCCTCCAATTGATTCTACTTACCAGAATGGATGGGTCCCAGGTGGAGAAAAGGTTGTAGTTGGAGCAGCGGCGGGGGATGGAGGGCGGGTGGGCTAAAGCCACGCCGGCCAGGACAAGGAGAGCCAATAATTTGTGCATGGTGGATCGTTGAACCTGGAGAAATAAACGAGGGTTATTGAAACTTGATAACTAAGGATCCATAGTTTTGGCGAGCAAGTCAAAACCGAAGTTCGAGCGCAGAAGCAAAAAGTAAATTCACACATCGTCACCTTCCGGCCAAAGTATCACAAGCGCCATGCGGCGTTCCACAAAGGTGTCCGAAAATTTCACTGAATTTTCTCTGCGCTGCCGATGAAATTCAGTGCGATTTCCGGACACATTCAACCGACAATTTCTCTATAAAAAAAATAAAATGGCGGCGGAAATTTTAAAATGCCGCGTGGCGCTTGTGATAATGGGAAGGTGACGACATCGTCTTCATTCATCTGACGAAACGACGTTTATATATTTCAATTTTGGGAAATCTTCACTTTCTATTTGGATATTCAGGAAAGAACTGTTGGGTGATTCAAATTGAAAATTTCACTGATCTTCTCTCTGACGAGACACCAGGATCAGTCAAAATTCAGACGGAAGTTACTCAGGTATATTCTCTTTAAAAATAGAGTTGTTGTAAGTCCACTTTGCAACCTCGGAATGGAGTTGCATTATTTGGACTAAATTTTGAAATTGAGAACTATAAATTTCGGCCCAGTTTAAAAACAACGTATGTGCCATTAGTTTCCCTATGCACATAAGTGTTTTTTTTTTCAGATGAGTTAGAATTTATAGCTCCAAATTGCAAAATGTAGTCCCTTTCGCCTAGGGGACAGTGGCGTTTATTATCTAGTAATTTGGGAGATAATCTTAAATAAACTAGTAGCTTCATTGTGCCAATTTCATTATTAGAGTGGTTGGTAAAATTGGAAATCCTTCTTTCCTCTAGGATTTCCACTTATATTTAGAAATTGTTTACGGTACACAGCCAAAACGTCGATTTTTCCAGTGGCTCTAATGTGATTTTACAAAAGTACGCTCAGAAATGCTTGCTTAAATTATTAATCCCTCAATTTACAGTTTATGATACATATTATGATGACACATGTGACCAAGGACCTTGCTAACGAAAAACTCCAAATTAAGAAATCGGTTTTTCATGTACCTGTATATCGAAGTGTTAGTAAATGAATATTTTAAAACCGTAAAATGACTAAAAATTACAAACCGAATTTGAACTGCGACAATCAGAAATTTTATCAATTGAATGGACTTAATCATGAGAGAAAGTTAGTGAAAGTTATTCGCAGGGCTCGATATTATATGTAGCTTAGAGCTCTTTTTAGGAACAAAGATGAACTGAATATAGCTGAGATTTATTTTGTGGAATCGTCGAAAATGTCGCGCACCGGAAATCTAAGTCCAAAATTCTTATTCTAACTCTAATTAATGAATATTTTTAAAAATTTTGCTCTGTGTGCTCAAAAAATATTACATTTAATTCCATTTCAACGTTTCAAAACTCAACAAATTCGATGATCATCCTAATTCGGGAAAATAAAGTGAGTTACGCACGCTGAAAGCACTCAGTAATACTTTTCTCCGGATTACATCCTTTAAGATTATGTCTTCCTTGACTGTATCGAGTAATAATACCCGTTATGAAACAATTTTTGAAGACTTTTTAATATGCCCGTTATGAAACAATTTTCAAAGACTTTTTAATTATCACCAGTTATATTCTAGGAAATTTTTCTTAGATGCTCCTCTGAATAAAATGTGATTGCAGCTGTAAAACTTTAAATAAGTAGGTCTTATTTGAAAAAAAAAGAAGAAAAAAATTACCATATTTTCCCATTATCCCCCATACATTTTAGCTGTTGAAAAACTACAGTAGATTTTTGAGGAATGTTTCAACATTTTCTTTCCTTAATTTTACTTCTTGTAAATTTTACTTAGAAAACACCCTAAACGGGTTTCCTAAAACATAACTCTACATAATTTTCGTTGAGAGTTGTCTTTACAAAATTTTCGAATTTTTTCAAAAGTTTTTTTAACGGTTGTTACTACCCAGGTTGTATTCAGGGCCGGATGAAGGGGGTGGTCACATGGGCCGTGGCCCATGGCGGCAAATCTAAGGGGCGGCAAACATGTGCAATTTTTTCAAGTGTAGGTATAAAAAAATTCGGATTTAGACAAAAAATTGCAAACGAGAAGAGGCAACAAAATCTCATATAGTAATTTCTAATTTTATCGTCTCCTAGTGATACAAGAGACAGTACCTTCAATTAGTCGAGTTAAGAGAGAAACCAAACACGCAATTGGGCCTGGAACTTAAAGACTTAGAGCGAAATGATGACGAGTACTTGATACGAAAAGGAGAAGCCCTCGGCGCGACGATCGGCATGTAACACATATTAGCGCCTACAAGATTGCACAAATACTTCTCGCATTGCATCAAACACAGTGCGGTCATTGCGGTCAGCGTGAAACGGATAGCGCCTACAAGAATGCATTAATACCTCACGCATTGCGCCAAACACAGTGCGGTCAGCGTGAAACGCATAGCGCCTACAAGACTGTCTGAATACTTCACGCTTTGCGCCAAACATGGAAGGCCTTGTCCACACAGAGAGAGGTTTACGAGACTTGACTTTCGCGCAAAGTTCCGTGAACTTTTGCTGGTAGTGTTGACAGGGCTCCCCCAAAAAATGTGTTCAACACGAGTAAATGCGTCTTATGCACCCCTCCCCCGCTGGCACGTTCACTTGATGGTTTTTATCGAGTTTCAAAACGAATGAGAAGGGGGCGGCAAAATACAGGCGGCCCATGGGCGGCAAGTAGGTGACTCCGGCCCTGGTTGTATTGGGTCAAATAAGAAAATTACTCGGGTGCAAAGAGGAAAATCTGAGAAGTGATTGTGCTTACCTTTCACCTGCTGTGCTGGAACCACGACAAGGGAACTGATGCTTTTTTCCGAATCCCTAGAACTTTTATACGAAAATTTCGATCATAATTCAGGGGCGTGTTTTGACGGCGGCAAATTGATGGCCTATCTTGTGCGTTTCCGCGAGTTGAGAACATTTTATTTATCGCCAAATCTGTTTGTCGATGGGTCACTTGACGCAGATCTCTGTGTTTGATCAAGTTCGACCGGTGGCTGGACCCGTCAATCCGTCGTCAATCTAACTCGGATGTCCGACTCTGCGTTCAAGAACAAACAATCTGTTTAGCGAACCACGTGAAATCGTTGGTAACAAAACAAAAAAAAAATGAAAAATAAAAAAAGAGGTCTGTTTTGCGAAAAAAATACCCAGTTGGCGAAGTAATGAGGGACCATGGATTTTTTCCAGTTTTTACGTGGTATCTTAGAAAATACAACGATGGGGGACCATTGATAACTAGATATTTAAAACATGATTTTATATCAAATCTAAAAATTGATTTATTTTAACTCTTAAACGTTAATAATATATAATCCTCATATGTTAATGTATTTCGAGATCGTAAATTGTTATTTTATTTTTAATCAACCAAGGTAGAAGACTATAGTCTTTACTTTTATTAAATTTATATTTTTTTCCAGCTGGTATTGAATTAATTTCTTAAATAATTTAATTTTAGTCCATTTTTAATTTTTACCTGACGTACTGCCTGCATGAAATCTGGTGTTGAACATTGGAAAAACGCGACTTTCAGTGCATTTTGGCTTTCGAACCGGGCCTCCGTTTCGAAGCCAGATGTAAGTATCGTCGAAACACTGACATTTCTGTAAAAAAAGGCGTCATCAACGGCAAAATAACGGAAAATTCGGGAGTGAGCAGATTTTGGCCCTTATCAATACTCTTCCTATGGTCGTTATTCAGAGGTATCCTTCGTCGGTATCTTGGCAATGGTGGAAGCCTATACTTTTGAGACTTAAACATTCAACTGTTGAGCTACCCACTATTCGTCGTTTTGCAAACAAACCAAAGTTTAGTAACCTTATTGGGTTATAACTTCACCCAAAGCTCATTATTTATGTAAGACGACCCTGCCATGATAGCGAAGAGAGCCGTTAAAAATGAAAAACTGAAGCTTGAAAAAATCAAAAAATGAAGTTTTGAAAAACGGGCTCATTGGCGTCTGAGAGGAAAATTTTATTGATGGAAGCCTCTTTTATATTAAGCACTGTTTTCATTGGCTTTCTGGAGGAAAAATGTCACTTACGGCTGTTTTGTCTGAAACAACGTCAATATTTGAACATTTACGGCTTCCTCTTATGTTTCGGTTTCACGCAATTAAGGTGAATTTTGCTGTTTTAGCTCTTTCGGTAATTTCACCTAAAAGAGATGAGACGAATTTTGAAAATTTGAAAGACACAGCTCCTCTTCGTTATGGCGGCAGAACGGCCTGCAAACCCTCTAAAATTGATCACTGGACTTTTTTTCGAAGTTCGAAGGAAACTCAGTTTCAAAAATTTGACACTTACTGCTCTCTTCGCTATCACGGCAGTGTTGCTCCACCATAATTATCCGTCAGTAAGGAAGTACTGAACCCGAAAGTTATAGTTTCCACCAGTCGCCAAGAGGCTACTGAAGGGTCTTCCCTTGTCCCTGTTATTACTGCTCTATTTGATAACTCGACAGCACACTCATAACTCTGCAATCCAACTGTTTTTCATCGTCATGTTTACAATGCAACTGTTCTAAGGAAAAACGCCGTGTGACCCTTTAGACATTGCCGGATTTCCTATAACAAGAACCGAATTTACCGGAAAATTTTTGAATATTTTTCTCCGAAATTTTCAGACGATTTCATTCACAATTTGATCTAAAACATCTGAAAATTTCAAAGGGAAACATGAACGACTTTCCTCGAAAACGCGTGTTTTATCCGGGAAAATTCGGCAACTCTCGAATGTTCATACGGCGTTTTTTCTCAGCGCAGCAGAATGCATCTCTTTTTTTCGCCCATACTCGCTGCAGCCCACCTGTTTTTCATCGCTATGTTTACACTGCCGCGCTAAGGAAGAACGCTGCATGAACATTAGAGAGTTGTAAAATTTCATCCGATAGAATGCACACTTTTTAGGAAAGCTATGAATATTTTTCATCCAAATTTTCAGACACTTCAGATCGGATCACGATCGAATTCTCTGAAAAACGCAAAGAAAAATATCCACAGATTTCCCTGAAAATTCCAATGCTGCCCCAGTCGGGGAAAACCGGGAAATGCCAGGGAAAATGACGAAATGTCACACTGGAAAAAAAACACATTGGATCTAGAGTCTAGACTTTTGAAAACATTGACAAGAAAAAATGCACTTGATTCAATCAGATTTTTGCTTAAATCAAAAGGAAATCCGTTCAAATTAAAAGGCTTGGTTCTTGATTCAAGCAAAAATCCGATTGAATAATCAAGAGTATTTTTTCTTGTCGATGTTTTTAAGAGTCTGGACTCTAGATCCAATGTGTTTTTTTTTCCAGTGCAAGGAAAATTTGTTAAATCACCTTCATTTTCTTTCTAGAATGGGTGTGAGGTTTCGAACAACAAATTTTGCCCGAAAATTTTTTTCAATTATGCCTTCTTAACCAACCGTCACATCTTCAATTGTCAGGGAATTTCACCAAAATGTGCCAGGGAAATCAGGAAAATGTCAGGGAATTTCATTTTCTAAATTCTGTGGCAACCCTGAAATTCGTACTTTATCCAAGACAACACTGGTAAAAAAAAACCCTCTTGGTTCAAGAGTGCAGTTTCTTGTCGCCGGATTTAAGAGTCTAGACTCGTGTTTCAATGCAAAATCCGCTTGAATCAATGCAAAATCCGCTTGAATCAATGCAAAATCCGCTTGAATCAATGCAAAATCCGCTTGAATCAATGCAATATCCGCTTGAAACAAGAGTTCAAGACTCTTAAATCCGGCGAAAAGAAACTGCACTCTTAAGTCAATGCACCGCGGCATTGGTCCAAGAGGTTTTTTTTTACCAGTGAATTTGGCAACTTCTGTTGGCTCATACGGCGTTCTTCCTTATAGCACAGAAGTGCAATGTATCCCTATTTTTTTTCATTGCATGTGCAATCCATCTGTTTCCCATCGTCATGTTTACAATGCGTCCCTTTTTTTCTGTTTCAGACGGGACTGTGATAAACGTCTCTCGCGGGGTCCGGAAGCGGGAGATGGTGAACCTGACGTCAACGGGGGTCGGCGGGGAGCTGCGGCGGG